ATCAAAAACTAGCACTCAAACACGCACTCATTCCAGATGCCAACACTCCGTACTACAATTATAGACCAAAACATACTCTAGAAAACACCACACATAAACTTTTTTACGACCGCGGCATTCTCACCGATAGGACAATCCACTATAACCGACCAGATATAATTCTACAAGATAAAATAAATAATATTACTTACCTGATAGACATTGCAGTCCCCAACACACACAACTTGCAGAAGACGATAACTGAAAAAATTTGTAAGTACGCAGAACTTAAAGATGAAGTGACTAGAATCTGGCAACAAGAAAAAGTATATGTGGTCCCAATAGTCCTCTCCACAACAGGTGTCATCCCAAATCATCTCCTCCGTAGCTTAAAATTATTACAACTAAAAGAAACTCTATATATTACACTTCAAAAAGCAGCTATATTAAATACATGCAGAATAGTTAGGAAATTCATGCAGATAGAAGAAAACGAAATAGGACCTCATCAAATCACATGAACTACACTACACACCACACGCTGCATTTGCTTTGGCTTCGGCCCGTAAATGTAGTTGAAATCCAGCCTAGAGCTGAGAAGTGAAAACACTTACCGTAAATAATAATAATAATAATAATAATAAGTCCCCTAAACAACCACACGTCCTGATTGACCATCTAATCACGAGGGGGGCGGACACACGAATGAGAAATTACTGGCGTGGCTAACGTGGCTCTGGAAACCCATAAATAAAATGGAGACTCGTTCTAAAAGTAAACGTATAGGGCCGCTACCCGGGGGCGACCGCCGGGGTGCACCTGGAGCTGACGCTGGGTGTCACAGCATGCGATCCGTCAGCGGTGAGGAGTTGAACAGGCGGGCTCCCACCCACAAAGATACTACAGCTGAACTCATTGACGATGGTGACAGACTGACGGACAGGACAGACACCCCTGTAGAACCATATAGTCCAAGCACAGTATCATACACACCCTCGAGGCCAACATCACCATCCATACCATCGTCACCAACACCTCCATCACCCCCCTATTACTAGTTTAAATACAGTTCCACCTACTCCGACCTTGAGTGCTGCGCGGGAGGTATCTACCTTCTTACCCGCGTCCACCAAGGCTGGAAAAGCAAGAGTTCGAATGAAATGGAGTAAAGAAGTAAATGTATTTATCATGAGAATTTATCTATACATTACTAAATTAGAGACCGATATGACCACGTACAGACAACAATTACACGCACATTTCACTCGACAATATCCAGAAATTACTGTTTCAGAACAAAGAATCTCAGACCAAAGAAGAACCATAGTTAGGAATAAACTTCTATCCCAAGAAGTTATAGATCAATTAAAAGAAGAAGTACGAACACAATTAATTCAAGAAGAAGCGACTAACAGCTATGTAGAAACTAATATCACACAAAACACAAGTGAAAATGATCGCCAAGTACAACCACAATTGCTCAGTCAATCACAACTCATTTATACACAATCTCAGCCATGCGACCATTCACAAATATCACACACATCCACACAAACCGAAACCGTAATCCTAACGCTAGAAAATGATATTGAGACCATAGTTGTCCCAGATCAACACTTAACAACAGATACATATATCCGAGAAATCAATGAGAAATTTAGAACAACAATAACTTTATACTCTGGGATGGATCCCGCAGCGCGACTAAGATTACCTAAACTTAAGTACACACCTAACCTGTTTCGACTGGTTAATTTATTTAATGAAACTATACTCACACAATATATATCTGATGACACACAACTTATAGACATACATTTACTTATATACTGCACAGCGATAGTAATATCCGAAGAATTGAACTTTAAAATCACAGACAATGCAAGAAATACAAGAACAAGACAAAATACAGAACCAGCATGGCAACAGAGACTAGAAAAAGACATTGAAAAATTAAGAGCAAACATAGGTAGACTCACTCAGTATATTAACGGTTGTAGATCTAATAAACTAGTCAAAAAAGTAGAGGTCATATTTAGGAATAATGCTACGCATACCAGACACGAAAAAAGTAACACAAGACCTGAAGAATTTTTAGACACGTTAAAACTAAAATTAGCACTTAAAGTTCATAGGCTCAAAAGGTATAAAAAAGCACAACAGCGCAAAAAAGATAACGTCAGATTTGCCACAAACGAAAAATTGTTTTATAGAAACTTACACAAACCACAAACAGACTTAATCGATGAACGTAACACACATACACCTAACCTACCTATAAAAGAACAACTAGAAGCATATTGGGCGAGTATTTGGGAAGAGCAAAAACAACATAACGACAAAGCATCTTGGATAATTGAAGAGGAAGCAAAATGGAGAGATATTGACGAAATGGAGTTCGAAGAGGTAACATAGTTAGACATAACACTCATTACAGCTAGGTTACATAATTGGAAATCACCTGGTATAGACAAAATTCATAATTTTTGGTACAAAAAATTAACGTCTCTACACAAACCTTTAGCAAGAAATTTAACAGATATAATAACAGGACAACAGAACACTCCCGAATTTATTGCAACAGGAATTACTTATATGCTACCTAAAACAAAAAATTCACCTCAGCCTTCCCAATACCGACCAATTACATGCCTACCCACAATTTACAAAATATTGACATCTGCAATCACAAAGAAAATTCAGTCGCACATTGAACACCACAATATAATAGCAGAAGAACAGAAGGGATGTAGACAGGGCCACATGGGATGTAAAGAACAGCTGATAATTGATTCCACTATTCATAAACACGCCACCTCTAAAAATAGAAATTTACATTGCACCTATATTGATTATAAAAAAGCGTTTGACGGTGTTCCTCATTCATGGTTATTAAAAATATTAGAAATTTATAGAATAAATCCGAAAATAATCGATTTCTTACGCCGAATAATGTTACAATGGAAAACAACACTACAAATAAATTGTAACCAAAATACTGTCACCACGCGACAAATCTCAATCACAAAAGGCATCTACCAAGGTGACTCCCTGAGCCCACTGTGGTTCTGTCTCGCCCTAAACCCTCTGTCTCATTTGCTGCAGAGCTGCGGGGCCGGATATTGCCTCAAACTTAATACAGACGAAACAACAATATCGCATCTTATATGCATGGACGACATCAAATTATATGCAAAAACAGACAAGGATATGAAGAAATTAATAGATATAACAACAGAATTCAGTAGCGATATTAATATGCATTTTGGTTTAGATAAATGTAAAACACTTCACATTGTAAGAGGCAAAGTAAGGCCCGGCGACTATGTGGTAAATGAAACGGAGGCTATTACAGCAATGGAATCGACTGACTTATACAAATATTTAGGGTATGTCCAACTTAAAAGTCTTGACCACGTACGAATTAAAAATTCTCTCACTACGGAATACAAGAGAAGACTTAACGCCGTTTGTAAAACTCAACTTTGAAGTAAACATCTCATTAAAGCCATTAACACCTATGCCATCTCCATATTAACGTACTCATTCGGAGTTATAAAATGGTCCAAAACTGATGCAGAACAATTAGAGCGAACTACACGTACAACACTCACGAAACACAATAACCTACACCCTAAATCCGCCATAGAGAGACTAACAATAAAACGAGAACATGGAGGGAGAGGCCTAATGGATATCCAGCACCTATGGCGGAAACAAGTTAGTCGATTAAAATCATTCTTCTATACAAAATCCCATACTAGCAATATTCATAAAGCCATCGTAACGAATGATATTAACTACACACCACTTAACTTAAGCAATCAGATTGAATCCCAAAACACTACTAGTGATAACCCACAGACATACAAAATTGACGAATGGAAGAAGAAAGTTCTCCACGGTCGGCACCCTCATGACTTAGAGCAATCCCACATAAATAAGTTAGCTTCAAATAAGTGGCTGAAAATAGGCAACTTATTTCCAGAAACAGAAGAATTTATAATAGCTATTCAAGACCAGATCATAAACACAAAAAATTACAGAAAATATATAATCAAAGATCCTACAGTAAATAATGACAAATGTCGCAAATGCCACACACATCCAGAAACCATTCAACACATCACAGGCGCATGCACAACTCTCACACAGACTGACTACACTCACAGACACAATCAGGTGGCCAATGTCATTCATCAAAAACTAGCACTCAAACACGCACTCATTCCAGATGCCAACACTCCGTACTACAATTATACACCATAACATACTCTAGAAAACACCACACATAAACTTTTTTACGACCGCGGCATTCTCACCGATAGGACAATCCACTATAACCGACCAGATATAATTCTACAAGATAAAATAAATAATATTACTTACCTGATAGACATTGCAGTCCCCAACACACACAACTTGCAGAAGACGATAACTGAAAAAATTTGTAAGTACGCAGAACTTAAAGATGAAGTGACTAGAATCTGGCAACAAGAAAAAGTATATGTGGTCCCTATAGTCCTCTCCACAACAGGTGTCATCCCAAATCATCTCCTCCGTAGCTTAAAATTATTACAACTAAAAGAAACTCTATATATTACACTTCAAAAAGCAGCTATATTAAATACATGCAGAATAGTTAGGAAATTCATGCAGATAGAAGAAAACGAAATAGGACCTCATCAAATCACGTGAACTACACTACACACCACACGCTGCATTTGCTTTGGCTTTGGCCCGTAAATGTAGTTGAAATCCAGCCTAGAGCTGAGAAGTGAAAACACTTAAATAATAATAATAATAAGGCATAGAGAAGTGAAGACCCCATCGTCCGCTGACGTAACAGTTATGTGACAAAACTGCTACGTCGGCGCAGTCAGTCAGCATCCTGCCAAGAGGTGTGAGCGCCGTGCCTAGGCAAAATTGTAGGTGCAAAGGTCCGTTTGTGCATATGACCCAACCACGAAACGGTGCCGGGCTTGGGCGTCTCCCGTTATTTGGCGCCCATAAAATGGATGATGGAAGAAACACAGAAAGGACACGCGCACAGGGCCGTGCGGGGTCGCCGGGGCGCGTCTGGAGCTGGCGCTGGACGCGGCAGCATGCGGGCCCCCAGCCGAGCGCGAGGAGCTGCACGATCACCTAGCAGCCCCTCGCATCCATCATCCCCACCAGAAGGCTTGGTGTCGGCTGGGTCTTCTCGGACTCAGCAAGCGGCACCCGCCGCTGGTGGAGCACGTCGCATGCGTTGGACAAAATCTATGAACGAAAACGCATTGCGGGCGTACTATAGGGCGAAAGGAGAAGAAACTGTGGGAATAGCGTAGAGGTCTCGGATGCATTGCTTTTTTGCTGAGCTGAAGCCTTCCATCCCCGTAACAGAACAAAACCTGGCAGACCGAGTTCGGTACATCATGCGCTCGAAAATATTTGATGATGCCGAACTCGAACGACTACGACGTGAGGCTATTCTGTCGTCGAATGAATCGGCTATGGCTGGAGATGCAGCTCCACATTCGACAGACCAGTATCCACACGTGGAAGCCGCCATGGATCTTCCAGTTGTGGTTGATTCGAACGACGATGAAATAGTCTCCCACGAACTAGAGCAAATGAGGAGTATATTGGAAGAGGCGATTTTGGAAACGCGCAGCACCCCTCTCGAAAATCGACCGCGACTTCCCCCGCATACCCCTAAGCAAGCGGAATCGGGCTGTCATGAGGGCTCTTAACCCAATGCTGGTGACCTATTTGGAAGCCAGCCGGGACCTTTGCAAGACGGACTCAATTCTCTTTGGCGCCGCAGTGGCAGTTGGCCGTATTATTGGCGCCAAACTTCCCATGGCTGGACGCGCTACTACACAAAGTAGCGCCATCCCAGCCTGGAGAAAAAGAATCGAGGACCGTGTCGCAAAGGCAAGGGCCCTTATCGGCAGACTGACAAGCTTCAGGTCGGGTAATAATAGACCGAGGATTGTGCGCACCGTTAGGATAGCGTTTGCTGGGACGAATATCAGTTTGTCCCAGCCGGATATCACGCAGAAACTAACGGAGCGCACAGACGACCTGAAGCAAAAGATCGCTGCTTGGGGGAAGCGGATTCGACGATTTACCGAGAGGTCAAGGCGGTTCAACCAGAATTGTCTCTTCCAGAGTGATCAGAAGAGGCTCTATAAATCATTGGAGCGACCAAGGGTATGTGAAGCGGGCCAAGGACCGGATCAGGCTGACATTATCGTATTCTGGCGTGGCCTATGGTCAGAGCCCGTAAACCACAGCGAGGGCCCCTGGATGGAAGTTGTGGCGAGCCAGGGTGCGAGTGTTACGCCTATGAACCCCATCACCATAACGCCGGAAGACGTGGCTGAGGCGGTCCGTAGGACCCCGAACTGGAAAAGTCCGGGGCTCGACGGGCTGCATCATTGCTGGCTGAAGGGGTTCATAGTGTGTCACGCTATGCTGGCCCGACAGTTTCAAGAAGCTCTCGACCAGAAGTCGCTCCCGAGCCTCTTCACTACTGGGATCACTCACTTGGTTCCTAAAGATCAGGATACCACAGACCCGAGCAAATACCGCCCCATCACGTGTCTACCCACCATATATAAGACACTGACATCCATTTTGAGCGCGAGAATCACTCGCCACCTGGAGCTAAACCAGGAGATGTCACGCGCTCAAAATGGATGTCGGGGCGGTGGTCGTGGAACCAAGAAACCACTCCTCATTGACGCGGTCATAGGCAAAGTGGTGAAACGCAACCGTCGGAACTTCTCTGCCGCCTGGATAGACTACAGAAAGGCGTTCGACTCAGTGCCCCATACATGGCTAAAGAGGGTCCTCGAGCTGTACAAGATTGACTGTACAGTTAGAGACTTCCTCGAGCAGTGTATGGGGCAGTGGAGAACGATCCTTTGTCATCTGGGCGAGCGGATGATGGCTACGGAGAACAACATAAGGATAAGAAGGGGTATCTTCCAGGGCAATTGTCTGAGTCCAATCTGGTTCGGCCTCTCTCTGAACCCTCTCAGTACCTTACTGGAGGGCTCCGGGAGGGGATTTCAGCTACGGAAAGGAGGGACAAAAGTGACCCACCTTTTCTTTACGGATGATCTCAAGTTATTCGCCCCCAGTCGCTCCCATCTTATGAAACTACTAAACATCACTTGTGAATTTAGCAGTTCCATTGGAATGGAGCTGGGGACGGATAAGTGTGCGGTCCTCCATGTTGAAGGGGGAAGGGTTGCTAACTTTAAGGGCATAGACTTGTCTATGCCCGTCAACTTAAGGACCCTTTCCGAGGCTGAAACATACCGATACCTGGGTATGTCACAGAACATCGGTATCGATGAGGCTGGTATGAAACAGTCAGTTTGCGACGTGTTTTATGCATGCTTGACCAAAGTGCTTAACAGCCTTTTGTCCGGTGTGAATAAGTCACACGCATATAACTGCTTGGTCATGCCTGTCCTCATGTATACCTTTGGCATACTCAGGTGGACTCAGACTGAGCTTAACGCCCTGGATAGAAAAGTCCGCACTACCATGACGTCCCATAGGATGCATCATCCGAGATCGTCGGTAATGAGGCTGTACTTGCCGCGAAAGCATGGTGGGCGTGGCTTTCTGAGCGCGCTCACCATGCATAATCGCGAATGTGCAGTCTCCGTCAATACTTATTGGCGAGATCAGATGATCCATTCTATTATTATAAAGGGTTACAGGGGGTATATACATGAGGGGGTTTTATGTACAGGGCTCGCTCTGAAATACGGTCTCGTGGACCTGAAAGTGCCGTATTACAAGTACTTGCCGGAAGCCGTGCTCGAAAATGACCGCGCCAGGCTCTACTGGGACCGGTCCATTATCACAGACAGGACTATTCTTGCGAATAAGCCTGATATTGTGCTGATGGACCGGGCACAGTCAAGGATATTTTTGGTCGACATTACCATTCCGTGTGACGAGAACCTCGTGAAAGCCGAAACAGATAAGCAAACAAAATATCTGGACCTGGCTAACGAGGTGACCGACGTGTGGGGAGGTCGGCCGACCGAAATTATTCCTGTAGTCGTCTCTGCGAATGTTCTAATCCCAGTCAGCCTCTCGGGTCATCTGAGGCGACTGGGACTCCGTGACGGACCGCTCCGGGCTCGAATGCAGAAGGCAGTGGTACTTGATACCGACCGCATCGTCCGTCGGTTTCTTTCCCTTTCCTTCTAACCCTCGGCCGTTTGGTCTCCTCTGCCGAGGGCTTCCATCTGGTTGGATCTTTATTTATTTGTGTATTTTTTGTATTTATTTTATTTTATTGATATTTATGTATATTTATCTTTTCATTTTAATTTATAATTATATATTTATAGAAACCAACCAGATGAGAAAACTATACAGATACCCATAATAATAATAATGTCCTCCAGACCGAATTTCGGCCACGGCGGCTTGCCTCAACGGAGGCTAGCCATCGCCGCAGGACAGAATTATAGTGCCCAAGTGTATGCGTAAGCACAGGTGCACTGTCTATTCCCTCACTCTCGTAATCCGATGGGACGGTAAACCAACACGAACGGGTTAGAAATCAGGCGCAGGACCAACGGCTTTACGTGTTTTTCGAGGTACGAGGGTGAAACATCGCCAACTTCCTGACTCCGGGAAGCTACTGAGAATTTCTTGACAGAAAAACTCAACAATTGATTTTTTGGCCCGACCCAGGATTCGAACCCAGGACCTCATGATCGGCAGTCGCACTACTTTAACTACTAGACCAATGAGGCAGTAGTAAGGTTAAATACAATGTATTACACAGAATACAGATAAATAGGTTGTAAGAGATTGAGTATTAAAACAATATGATGTTAGAATTGGACCGGAATTCTCCCCAGTCTTAATGTATGATGACTAAATCATCTTAAGAACCAAAGGAATTATCTGCTTCTAACTCCATTGTGAATTTTTTCATAGAATTAGTGGACTGGAAATGCATTTATTTTGTATAACGGTAAAATTATGAACGTATTTTTGAATCTTGGATTTACAGCAGAAGAAAGAATAGCTTTTTCTTCGAAGTCCTCGTTAAATATAACCGGGTGTCTATAGCTTATAGAGGTGAATCTATCGCCACTTAATCTACTTGTTTTTGAACTCTTCCTTCCACAATAGATAGCCAGATGTGAGTCAGTGTTTGAGTAACGCTGCATATTCTGCAGGTAGGTTTTTTTAATCTAACTTCCTAGTTAAAACTGATCTGCAGTCGTCAAAGAATTGCATCTTAATTGTAATGAGACAATCACAATGGAGTTAGAGGCAAAAACTCTTTTGCTTTTGTACATGTCCTAGACATACGAAATCCTGATAACACCCGATTTCGGAAATTCTATACTGGGCCATATTTAAATGGTGAACCTCACTATCACTCATCACATTAAGCTACCATGGGAAAATCTTGTTTCAGAAGACACAAGATATCAGTGATATTAGGCGCTGACCGCCGAGCTCCAGAACACGAATCAAATACTGCATGAGAACAAGTTTTGGGATTCGCGCCTTTGTCACAGTGACCAAGTGAAGTCAGCTACAGTCGAGCGCGTGCCTGCAGAATTACCATATTTCAGAGGAGACACAGACAAGATAGACTAGATGTAGACATGATAGATAGCGGCGAGCTTCCATAAAAACGTACTACAAGCTACAAGATTAGTCAACTATCCGTCAAGTGTAATAATATCCCTCTACACGATGCAGGAGTACAAGCTTGATTGTGAATGTTGTCCTACTTACATAGAACAAACAAAAAGATCGATAAAAACTCACAGTAAAGAACATAGCTTATGTCAAACACCGACGTTCTCTGAGAAGCCAGTGCAGTCTGTAGACATTTTCAATATTGTCCCCACCGTTATATTAGATTTATCGAACCTCATACCCTTGCAACAGAACAGCGATTACTATCAAAGATGATTTGAGAGATTAATGCAATTAAAAATAAGTAAAATATGTTAAACTAAACGTTAGTAACGTAAAAGTAATTGAAAAATAAGCGATTATCCGTATAAATATATCAGGCTTGTCACAATGCCCAATATTCACTTACGTAGTGATGATGGTGTTTATATATTTTTCTTATATATTTTATGTTTACAAACGATTAACACTTAACCAAGTTAGAGGTTTTATAAAATTTTAATCTTATTTATTTATTTATTGCCCACTATACAAATTGTCTTTACAGGTTTATCACCTAATGCGATAATACAGACAACTATTTTTACAAACTACAATTACACAGCTACAAACGAATAATTTACGATCATATGTACTTATTGCTACT